CATACCAAAGAACTTTATCTTCTGATAGCGATAGTCGATATCAGAACGAGTTAATTCTTCATGTAATAACAACAACAACATCAACAACAACAACATTGATAAAAAGAACATTATCAACAACAGATAATAACATCAACAAAAACAACAACAACAATATTGTTGATGACAACAAAAATATTCATCAGACTACTATTAAAAAGTCTCGACAAAATTATTCATCATTAAACGAGGAATTCAAACAACAACATCATCATCAACAACTACAACATCAACAACAACAACATCAACAACTACAACATCAACAACAACAACATCAACAACAACAACATCAACAACAACAACGCACTCATTTCTTAGATCAACTTGCTCTGAAAAGCAATGATAATACCAATAACAATAAAACTATTGTTGCCACTACTACTACTTCTGCCTCTGCTACTACTACTGCTGCTGTTCTTGTTGTTGCTGTTACTACTACTACTACTACTACTACTACTACTACTACTACTACTACTACTACTACTACTACTACTACTTCTAATACTACTACTAATATCAGTAGTAACATTAATAATAATAACATCACAAACCCCTCATCCACTTTCCGTATAAAAAAACTCTTTTACATCGCTGAGAAACTTTCAGAAAAACAACAACAACAACAACAACTACTACTACTACTACAACTAAACACAACAACAACAACAACATCGTCAACAACACAAACATTTTATAACAAAACTTGCAAACTTTTCAGCAGTAGCAGTAGTAGCAGCAGTAGCAAGACCAAAAATCCATTCTATCAAAATTTATTTTTCCAAAAAAATCGAAGTCAAGAGAGAAATTTGTTGTTGAATTACCAGCAACAACAACAACAACAACAACAACAAAAACAACAACAACAACGTCAACAATCTAGAAAACTCTACAAAAATACCAGCCCCCAATTAAATGATGTTTTCTACCAACCGGTCAACTTTGAACGAAACAAAAACCCACCACCCCAGCAGTCCAAGCCCTGTCCACCATCACTCACTTCCTCCTCTAGACGAATTCGAACTCGGAGACTTGCATCCATCATCAACAACAACACAGCAACAACGACATCGACCCTCAACAACAACAACAGCAACAACAACAACTACTACACGACAGAGCAGATGCGAATGACGTTAACTTGCATAAGTATTATCTGCCTTTTTCTAATTTGTATAGTCCCATCTGCTTTCTCCAATAGGCCAGTGGCTTATGCCATCTTCTCCAAGTCCAACCAAAACATGAACGAATTCGTAAAATCTGACCTTTACACCCTCCTAAAATCCCTAACCAATCTATTAGTGTACCTCAATTTGTCCTTGAACTTCGTACTATACTGCATCTTCAACCATAGATTTCTAATGACCTTGAAGAGGTCAGTAAGGTTAAAGGTCAACGGACTCAAGTCCCAGCAGTGTCTCACAGTTGAGAGCATTCTGCACGATGCGTTTTCATACTTGGAGAACCACAATAATAATAATAATAATAATAATTATAATAATAATAATAATAATAATTACTTTAATTATAAGAGTAATAACGATAATAATAATAATAATAATACTTCGTGCAGTAGTAATAGGAATAATAGTAATAACTATTATTGTTACTATGATTATTGTAGAGAAGATAGCCATAGTAATAATGATAATAACAATAATAATAATAATAATAATAATAACAATAATAATAATAATAATAACAATAATAATAATAACAATAATAATAATAATAATAATGAGAGGGAAAATGCTTTAGCTTCATCCGCTAAGTTTATTTATGACGACGCATTGATGATGACGTCAGAGCGGTCGTCCCATCGTCATCATCCTGCTTCTTGTTTTTCCTTTTCCGTTCACTCGCCAAAGATCAAAAATACGTCGCGACAACATCAACGACGGCAACAATAACATCAACAAGATCATCATCAGCGACAACAACTTCAAGAACAACAGTTGTAGTTGTAGTAGTAGTAGTTGTAGTAGTAGTAGTAGTAGTAGTAGTAGTAGTAGTAATAGTAGTAGTAATAGTAGTAGTAGTAGTTGTAGTAGTAGTAGTAGTAATAGCAGCAGTAATAGTAGTAGTAGTAGTAGTAGTAGTAGTAGTTGTTGTTGTAGTAGTAGTTGATGTTGTTTTTGTAGTAGTAGTAGTAGTAGTACTGTTGTTGTTGTCATTATTGTTGTTGTTATTATCGCAAAGTAATTTATTTAGCGCCCATTAAAATTTTCCCCGTTTCGGCGTTTAACAAACGTTT